TATATATATATTACGACAGGCACTGAACTTTTCTTACTTCAACCTCGTAAGATGACGGAAGTGTTGCTCATTTAACGTTACCCAGTGGGCACTTGTGAACCTAAGTCACGGAGGCGAGCAACATTACCCACGCCACACTGCTACAGATACCCGTTTATAGGTTGGACCACATTCACTCATCATACAATATTATAACGCTCGTTGAACAGCCGATCTAATTTTCGGCTTTACGACTGCTGAAGTCCATCTCCGTAGCCTTGTAACTTTGAACCCAATCCCGAAAAAATTGGAACTCCTGGATCAAGTATTGGGAGAATTTGCCTTCAAGGCGGACTTTTAGATGGAACTAACCCGCATTCGCGTTACATGGAGAAGATGACCACGAGAACCTCCCAAGGTTAGCCTCACGGCAAGGGGATTCTAACCCATGATCCGTCAACCACTGTGGATGTTTCGCGTCAGCACTGAGGTCGGTGCAAGCCGGATGCGGATTCGTATCCATCAGTTAGGGATTCGAACTCGGTTCATCTCATTGAACGTCGAACGTAGAGAACAAGACACAGAGAGATACTTTCATGCCCTGAGCGGGATTTGAACCCACAACTTGACTTCACAGTCAGACGCGTTAACCGCTCAGCCATCTGATCGGTCATAGTTTACACCAATAATTTTTGTTTATTGAGTGTATTCACGATTCTTTTAACATTGAGTTGATATATGAAAATATCTATTCAACTTCTTCTCCGACATTCTTTTTCGCTATTGTTTGATAAAGAGCATTGTATTTTTAGAGGTTGCTCAATTACAGCACAATATCACAATTATGTTGACAGTTCCAATTATTGTCAATCCATTTACTTGCTTTAGATACTGAAAAAAATATGACATTTTTTCGGCCCTTGGAAATATAAGTACAGGAGAAAATTGCTTGGTTTTCGTAAGTTTTAAATATGAGAAGATGACTCGGGCAAACAGTATTATGCCAGATGATACTAAGTAACGTTAATCCTTATTTTGATGAAATGAACTACTATATACGTGTGTTTCTTAATCTAACAACGTAAAGCCACCAGGAAGGGAAAAAATAAGAAAATCTAAATAAAAATAACTTTGAAATTATTTTCGCTTTACTATTAGTGTCTGCATTGATCTACATGATTTTGATGTGTTTCTCAATTGTGATTTATTAATTATTATTTTTAATCTTAAATGAAAAACGGATATTCAGCAAATAATTTTTATATAGTGGTTGTCAAAATCAATGTAAATTAAGATTAATTAGCAGATTAGCAAGAAATGGTGTAAATTAAGATTGGCGAAAATTGGTGTTTAAAGAAAATAGTGATAGTCAAATAGTTTTCGTTACCGATTTATTTTTATTTTCTTGCTAAGAATTTAATTCTAACATATTAAACCAACATCAATTCTAAATATAAATGCTCTGTTTTTTCTTAAATCAACAAACAGAGGTAAAAAGCTCTGCTCACAGATAAATTTATAAAGAAAAAGTTAAATACGTTGTTTTGTTTTCGTCTCGAGATAGTGGATGATATCTACTGTCCAATTGCGCTTCTGAAATTCTAGTACTTGAAACCCTAATCCAAATTAGCTTCGTTTTGAAACGAAACTTTTTCACGTGATGATATTTTGCATTTATGTAAAATAATTCACCTACTCGTCACTTGTGTGCTGTTCCATAGCGTGGGGGTTTTGGAAATAATTTATTAACAATTTACAGCATTTAAAATTTAGAATATATAAGATTCGTCTTAACGCAAGACTAGCAGATGAGGAATCTAAACTGAAACTTAAGAGAGGGAAAGTAAAGATTCGATTTGCGCATGTGTGATGTGATGTTTCGTAAACATAGCCTCGAACGGCTAAATACACGACAAGAAACGATAATCCTTATCTTTTAAAAAGAAATAAAATCATTGCTGCTGCTGAGAAAGCTCAAGTCTTCCAGCTTAGCAATGGTTCGTGTTGTGCAAGATAAAAATCTTATCATAGTGTATTCGGACCGATTCTTATTTCTTGAATGGATACTCGAAGAGTCAGACTTTAAAAATATTAACACTCTGCGATGTCCTGACTTTCATATTGGAGGAGAAGGATCATCTTTTCTTGAAATAAGAGTTCATAGCTTGACAATATCTTGTAATTTCTGTAATCTTGAACCTCTTTTAAATGGAAGTTGTGTATTCATAATATATGACAAGCATAATTCCTGCATTAGGAGTATCATCAAGGAATCAAAAGGTTTCTTAAGAGGTAGAGTTCGAATCAATTTGTTTGGAGGCTTTGTGAATTTGCCATCGAATACAGAATATCCTATCACGGTCAATTGCACTGCAAGGTCATCGACTACTGATCTTTTACAAGTGTCGTACGTTGATCGTGAGATTGGAATGAATAATCTTTCTTCGGATTTAATGAAAATTCTGCAACAATCTTACAACACAGACATAGAGCTGAGCACGGGTGGCGAGAACATTAAAGCTCACAAGATTATTTTACAAGCTCGTTCTCCGGTGTTTCAGAAAATGTTCGAACATGATTCCAGTGAATCTGCTAAGAATACAGTTGATGTTTCGGACATCAATCCATCAACAATGAAGAGACTGGTCAAATATTTGTACACGGGAAGAAAGGAAAAGTGTAATTTTGATGAAGTTGTGCAACTGTACTACGCTTCTGACAAATACGAAGTTATGTCCCTTCTGGAAGATTGCAGAGCCGAACTGCTGAATTATCTTGACGTAAACAACGCCTGTTTCCTGTTACTTTTAGCGAATCGTCATAATGACAGTGTTTTCGAGGAGAAAGTTGTGAAGTTTGTAAGTGCTAATTTTATGTCTATCATTAATATGGATTCATTTTTGGAATTGAACAATGAAAATATAGGATTACTAATGCGTTTGTGTGTTTCTGCCGTAAAAAAGTAATGCTTTTTTCAGAGATTCCTAATTGTTAATAATAGTTAAACAAATTTGACTTTTCAAGTTAGGTATTCTCAAAGTTTAGAAATTTTGTGCATAATTTTAAAGCGTATTATTAAAAAATATAGTATTGTGAGTATTTTTTTTAATTGAAATTATTATATTTGAATAAAAATTTTAGTTTAACAAGATTTCATTGACTGTAAGCACATGATTTAATTTCCTGTTGTTTTTTTTATTGCACATTGCACACGAATATATTATATTTAAATAGTTCGTATCAGACGAACAAGACGCAAAATAATAAAAAAAAATCGAATCTTAGTTTTCCTTGCCAAATTTGTTTTTTTAGTACGCGATATAGTACTTCTCATCAAAGAGATTATTAGAAATTATTATTTTCTCAAAGTGGAATTAAATTATTCTTTTACATTTAAATTTAGTGAGAAGATATTTCAGGCATAAATGTTGAGCCTGTTCCCAAGTACTTGAATACGAAAATAATTATGGGGAAATGGTTTAAAATGATTTGATTCTGTATCTGAAAATTTGTGATCAGGCAAACATAACTATCTGCACAAGTGAGGTAATTCTTTCAAAGAAACGAATGACACAATTTACCAAGTTTATATGACTGTAATTCAGAAGTTGTAAAGGAATTAGTAATCATGTATAAAAAGTAAGATTTCTTATTTCTAACTATTCACACATCTGAAACTCTTATCTTAAGAAGTGAAATATTATTTCATATCAAATTGTTATACTGGAACAAATTGGAGTAAAACAAGATCGGTAGGATAAATAGTTACAAGTTATTACAGCTTTTAAGGATTAAGAAAAAACACTGTTTTGTGCTTATGCCAGCATATGCGTCAGAGATAGCTGCGCAGATAAACAATGTATTTATGCTTAATTGAATAAAGTCGAATTCAAATTGATATTACTTTTAGTTTCGAAGTTGAAAAGGGGCATTTCAAAACCGTAGAATCACCCAATATTCAGTTTATAAGCAACGTTTGAATACTTTCCATTACGATAACGATTGCTTGTAATAGGCTTGCTTTTGATTTAGTTTATTGAGAGATATGGCATTTATTAAAAGGTATGCTGAGCTGCCAACTTTCTACGCTTTTTGTAAACATTTATACTAGTGGTAGCTACGTTTATGTTTTATTGCTCAAATTTTTTATTCATTTATACTTATTTTGTACACAACTACATATAAATGGTTCAAAAGTCCATTGAACCAGACTCTTTGATCCAGTTCTCTCGCAGTAAAACTATTGGCAAAATTACCAAAAAATATTTAAGCTTTGGGTTTTAAATGTTTACCACTCTATAAAATCTCTTGCTAAAAGCGTAGATGTTGGCAGGCATATATATGGCATTTCCTTTCGAATGGAATTGAGAGATTGAATGAATGGTTAATTTGAAATTGGAAACTATTGAGTGAGCAATAAAAGAATGAGTGATATGAAACGAATGAGTGATATGAAACTGGAGAATAACGCAAGCAAACTAACTAGGGGAAAAATCAATAAATAGGCAAATGATTGTAAAGGCCAATCAGTATTATAAGTCTAGAATTTTCAACTAATTAGCCGACTTTCATCAGTTAATTTGAGTAATGTTTTCTTCTTATAGGTGTGTCAATTTACATATGTTGAGTTAGTGAAAGGGCATCACTAGTGAATGAGTAAATAATTGAATGAACTATTCAGCAAACAGGCTAATAAGAGAAGCATCGAATCAAGTTGCAAATAAATAAAAAGTGTATAAACTGTAATTTAGAATCTTTTTTAAACCTATGGTTTGCTTTACAGCAATCTAGCACCAAAATCTTAGTTTTTTCTCGCATTGTACTTGAATATTTTTCATGATAATAAACTGAGAACTGCACTAAAACCATTCAAGGTTGAGTTGCATGTAAAGATCTCTAGTCGCTTGGAATTGTGGGTAAAATTCAAGTTTCAGTTTACGCTTGATATAAAGCCATCTCACCCACACAATCGAAGCCAAATAAGAAAAAATATTGGCAGCAAAAAATATAGGAAGAGCTATCGTAACAGACTTGATTTGCTTATAGTTTAATTCTAGCATATCTAATCTATATTAATTCTCTTCTTATGCTTACTTTATCTAAATAAACAGAGATAAAAAACAATAAGTTAAAGCATGGTTTACCAGTCAGATTCACTAAAATGAACGGTTTTATGAATCGATTCATATTTTTTTAATGGTCGTTATAATGAAAGACTCGTTATAAGAGGAGGTCGTTCAAATTAGTTTGGACTGTTTTAATATTTGAATTAGTTGATCTAGGTCAACTGCTCGCAATACTTTTCGGCTACGACCACTATCTTTTTAAAAATTAAGCATATATATTAATATGTAACGCTCTCATGGTTGTCCTTCCAATGCCATTAGTACCAGTCGCCCTAGGGCAAAATTCAGATCAGAGGTCTAGTGCCCGCTTGCGCGGGCAGGTACCTTGCCAAAATTACACGATCCAGTCATGGTTGTCCGCAATAGCTTTTTCTAAATACAGCATATATTTCTGCCTAAAATTGTAATTTAAATTTTATTTTACTACCAGTGAGGAAAATCATACTCGTTAGGACTAAGAGTTGACAGGTATGGGCATAGCATGAAAAAACTACTTTTAGACTGAGAGGAGAGAGCCCTTGGCCAACTGAGGTACTATCAATGATTAGTAAGGTCCTTGTCCTGTCTGGTTGGTCATTGTACCTGTGGCAGGAACGACCTTTTACCCTTTCATCACGAGATGTGGATTCATGAGATCCTTGTTATATAAAATTGAACGTATGATTAATTAGGGTTAAGGTGGTGAATTATATAAACCTACGAATTATTTAGAAATAGTGGTGGATAAAAATCTGCTAAATTGAATTTATTAAACCAAGAGTCACATTTGATAAAGTACCACTTTAAAAATTTTTATTTGCTGTTCAGAGCAAATTGGCATCTCTGTATTGAAGCAGAGACTTGCTCCGGACAGCAAATAAACATTTTAAAGTGGTAGTTTATCAATTGTGATTATTGGTTTAATAAATTCAATTTAGTAGATTTTTATCCACCACTATTTCTAAATAATTCGTAGGCTTATAAAAATCAGCCCTTTATGGTAGTTATGTCGCCAATAGTCACAGTCGTCTAAGGGCAAAACTTATTAGACGAAGAAGTGAGATGCCCGCTTCGCGGGCAGGTACTTTGCAGAACTATGTATCAAGTCAAATAGTTATGTAATGCTATACCTTTTAAAAAGCAAGCAAAAATAGTCAAATATTTGTAAAATTTACTTTGTAGTTATTTACTAGTGATGTGCCAATTGATTCATTTAAATGAATCGATTCTTTAGAATCAATACACTAAAATGAACTGTTTTATGAATCGATTCTTTGATGATTTTTTTTAATGGTCGTTATAATGGAAGAGTCTTTATAAGAGGAGGTCATACAAATTAGTTTAGACTGTTTTAGTATTTGAATTAGTTGATCTAGGTCAGCGGCTCCCAATGTTTTTCTGCTATGGAACCCTAAATAATTAACCTTTTTTCGGCGGAACTCCCTACTTTATGAGTAAATTTTTTTTAAGGTAATAGTGAGCGTTATAGTCTATTAAAGACTTTTTAAAATATTTAACTAGAAGAAGGAAGAATTTTCATCGATTTATCATTAATATCCGAAAGTTAAATTTCCAGTTCTTGTACTATATTTAGTCTAATTAAGAATTCGTTTCTAGTGTTTAAGTTAAAAATAAATAATTTGAAAAAAATAATATAAATAAATTAAAATAAGCCGACTTATGATTTACTTCGAAATGATTATTTAGAAGACCTACTACAAACGTTGAAAATGGTTATAAAGGAAACATATTTCTCTGTTAAAGAAGATAATTATTTTGATCGGAAAAGTGTGATGAGAAATACTAATGCAATATTTTATGAAGGCCTGTCCTTTTCTTAATTTATTCATTATATTGTTATTAGAAATATTATATTTTATTTTAAAAAATGCCATTTCTATTTCTCAGAATTAATTTCATAAAGGCAACCAAAATGTGTATTAAATTATAGATTGTATCTAAATACAATCTGAGGTTTTGAAACTCATCACTGGTTATAAAAAGTACTAACTCGTAGAACCCTTGTAACTTTTAACGGAACAGGGTTCCACAAAACACCATTTGGGAACAGCTTCTTTAGATCCTTGTTCTCTAGGATGCAGAAGCTGAATGTTCTAGTTAAGTGGTCAGCCGAATGTTGCTACAAAAAGTACCAACTAGCGGAACCCCTGCAATTCTTAACGGAGCAATAGGGTTCCATTTAACACCATTTGTGAACCACTCTTTTAGACCTTGTTCTCTAGGGTACAGAAGTTGAATGCTCTACTTGGGTGGCTTTATTTTCAAATGACTAACTACAGTAAGGAAAAACAATCATATCTTGAAATACTAAAAGAGATTTTAAAAATTGCATGAAAATCCCCTGAAAAAAAGAAGCATTTTCGTTTAACAAAATCACTTGGTTTATAATTGAAAAAGTGAAAGGATGTGAATTGAATGTTTAATAAATTTGTCTAAAAATATTCCTAACAAAAAAAAAAATTAAAAATATCCCTCCCCCCAGCATTAACCCACATCCTTCTGTAGCTACCATCTTTAATTTCAGAAAATAAGATTATACTGAAAAGAATCGATTCGTTTCACAAAACAGTTCTTTTAATGTTAAAAGATATAAAACCGCTCAAATGAGTCGAATACCCAACTCAAAGAATCGTTTAAACAGTTCATTGAATCGAATGTAATGTTACAGTATAGAAAAACGATTCAAAAGAATCAATTAGAAGTCCAAATCAACTAACTCTTTGAGCCGATATCAATGTTAAGAGATACGAAGTGACTCAAATGAGTCGTTTAAAAGTTCAATTCAACTCTTAGAGCCGATTTCAATGTTAAGGGATAGGAAACAGTTCGAAAGAAATGATTCGTTTAATGCTAAGAGATAGGCAAAAAGTTCATTGAATCGTTTATTCAACTCACGATTCTTTTTCTCCCTTTCAACAGGGGTGAAAGCGAGACGGAAAAGAGGAAAGGCTGGTAGTAAAACCATTTCAGTTATAGCTAGTTTTGGGGAGGAGTTTACTTATTCTTTTTTTAAATTTTTCAACAA